ACTTCTACCACACAAAAAAAATGCAATGATTTGGAATACAGATTTTTATTTCTTCTCTGCTGTCAACAGGAAAATACTGAGGTAGATAAAAAGTAAAATATATGAATAGAAATCATCACAAAACTAAAATATTAGGTGAACAGAAATGACAAGTTACAGTGAAGCCATTTTCAAGCAACTGCATTGGTATCGGTTCTTGGTATCGGTTAACTTTTACCGATACCAGTATCGTATCGGTATCTGCACTGATACCGATACCAGTATTGGTATCAGTGCAGATACCGATACTGGTATCGGTTAACTTTTACCGATACCAGTATCTGTATTGGTGCATCCCTAAAACTGTTAAATCCGTTCATCTGACTCAGTTGAAGATAATTTGTCTACGTGATGATGTCAGAGATGATAAGCTGGGAGTGTCATAACTTTTTTTTCTGCCGGTTCTGAATTTCTTTAGCAGCTTTGGATGTAAAATATCCCCTCTCAGGAGATTTGAAGCACTTCCTAGCTGGGAACGGAGCAGTCTTGTTGTGGATGTTGGTGCTGGTTCTGCTGCGTGTGTTTGTTCAGTTTCACTTTCGCTTTGGTCCGCTAAAGTCTTTTTTTTAATTTGTGGTGTTGGAGACGTCTTTACGGTGTGTTAACTGCAGCGATTCACACTGAGGTTAATAGCCACACTGGTTAATCCCCGCAAACCTAGTCTCACCTGTATGTATGTGGTAAGTAAACACTGAACCTTTCTTTCCACCTGCCGTGGAAGCAATTGCGTAATGAAGTAGCTGTGTTTAACTTGCAAGCTCATTCCCAACCAGGAACATTTCTGATGCCTAACGGTGTTAAGGATTCAGATGGTTTAAAAGGAACAGAGCCAGATGTATTTTTGTTAGAAAAACTATAAAATAAATGTGACAAATTCAGGTAGGCTCATGAGGTGAGGTGCTATTCAGAGGTGGACCCCCAGTATAAGATGTCTGACTCCCCTCCTCAAAGTGCAGCCTTTAATTCCCAGACAGCAGCGACACAATCATCCGAGGGGGCAGTTCCCACGAAATAGCACAATCTCATTTCTACAAACACTCAAAGACAACCCAGAACAGGATAAATAAGTTACAAATAACCCTGTGCTTATCAGCTGAGACACAGTCCATAGCTCATATATCCTGTTTTGGCTGAGACAGATTTCCTTTTGCTTTACAACACCCCCAGTCATGTTCTGCATCAGTAAACACACACATATAGACACATAGGCAGCTGCAAACACGTTAAACACACCCCTGCACCCTCTACAATAAAAGGATAAAGGAGGTATAAAGATAAGGCCTCTCCTTTAACGAGTAACTTACTTAAATGCTGGAACATTCCATATGGGTCTTATATTCTGTTTGTGGAGTAGTCTTTTCCACCGTATCCTGTCCGGCTGGGAAGCAATCAGGATAGATGTCTGAATGCCGAAGACGAGCCCTGCAGGTTTATTCCCTCAGGTTATAGCTTCTGTTATAACACCAGTCCTGGCACCAAGACTTTAATAGAAACGTTTTTGGTTGTTTAAATTCCCTACGGACACAGAGACAGAAGGGAAGAGAAACGGGGAGAGAGAAGGAAGAGGTGGGGGTTCACAAAAATAAACAATAAATGATGAACAAGAATCTGCTTCTATACCTGCAGAAAGAGAGAGAGAAAAGGAGACACAAAAATACAACAAGACCAAAATATCACTGCACCTACTACTGACGATATATAAGTAACTCTGTTTGCTGATAAACACGCGATAATAATTCATAGTGCATTTAGAGCCAACCACAGCCACCACACAGGTGATGTGTTGGAAAGCTCCAACTCCATCCTTGTGAGAGCACCATGTGACCTTATACACACTTGTATGTATGTAAGGTTTCTCTATAGGAGCCTCCAATAGTGAGTACAAAGTTTTGTAAAAGTGTTGTTTATTCTTTCAGGACCATACAACATATTTCTGATTGTCTTTAATAGCAGGTATAGTACTTTTATTACCACACCCTAACCCTAACCCAATTAAACCAGGGGCGGGTATAGGTGATTTCTGTCAGCCCTACTTGCTACATGCCATTCAGATTGATGTGACGTGCGAGATTGGTTCTATAACTGGAAATTGTATTATTTTAAATACATCGGCACTGGTGTTACAGGGCAATGTGATATAAAAACCCTCCTCCTGTCTCAGATCCATATTTATTTATTGTCTCTCTTTTTAAACGTCATGTAGGTCCGAGGCCTTAATCTAACTGGAAAATTTTTGGGGCCAGCCAAGCCACTTAACAAAAACTTGTCGCTCTCCTCGGAATGTCCGGCGTTTTAAAACTTTTTCAACGTGGAAGGATCTCTCGGGCGATAGGTTTACTTTCTGCAACTCGGCTTCATACAATGACCCTTCAATATTTTCCCCATCAAAATCTTTGAGTTTATAAACCGGTGGCGAGCGATGAAGACACTCATCCACTGTGAACAGCTCGTGTGTAAAACTCTGCTCATATTTTTTATCAAAAACACCTCTGAGTTTGGAAATTCTCACAACTTTTACATTTCCTTTTCTTTGCAGGCTTCAGTGAGGCGGCTCCGTAAAGGCTGCGAAACACCTGCCTTTGATTTTCCATGTTTACTTCAGCGGGGGCATTTTGATGGAAGAGTGGTAGCTATGGTTATAACCTCGTACTAAATCTGGGATCACATCTATGCAGCGACGGGTGTTTTTGGCTGTGAAATATCTCCACATTCTGTCTTTTAGGGTCCTGTTAAATCTCTCCACAACGCTGGCCTTTACGCTGCTGGCTGTGGAAAAGTGCACAATGCCGTGTTTCTTCAGGAGGGCTTCAAATTTCTTGTTAAAAAATTCTTTACCAGCATCCGTCTGCAATTTTTTAGAGGTACCACTGTCTTTCCAAACTGAAGCAAAAGCTTCTGTAACATCTTTCCCAGATTTGTTTTTCAGGACTCGTACATAGGCTTTTTTGAAAATACATCTATGACGGTTAATAGGTAATAAAAACCGCTGTTTGATTTTTGACAAGGCCTGCATGTCGCATAAGTCAGCTTGAAACTGCTTTAGTGACCCTGAGACAAAAACCTCATTTCTCGGAAAACGAACTCTTGCTGGTTTGTGGAGTGTGTAAGCGTCTTGTTCCGAGAGAAAGTCACGAGCCTGATCCGATGAAACTTTCTCCCCAATCTCTCGTAAAGCGGTTCTAAACCTTTCCACACCTCCGTAACTACCCTGATGTTTTGGTAAAAAATAAACCTTTTTCATTACCTCCTCCATCTCTGATGGATGCTTGAAAAACATTATACATATTTATTCTCATTATTTCATTCTATTTCATAAATTGTACACATGTGACAATAAAGCTAGTCAAATATAAGGAATAAAATCTATTCACACTATAAAAAATAACTGTGCGGTCTAATCAAATATAAAATCTAATCGCACTGTAACAAACAGCCGTGAGGCCTAGTCAAATATAATGAATAAAATGTAATGGTTAACTACTAGATATGTTTATAATAAAAAAAAATCAAGTTGCAAAAGAGACACCCCCCACCCCACACTCACACACACACTCACACACACATTTTACTCAACCACCGCAGCCAGTGCATCCCGGTCAGCTTTGGTCAGGTGATCGTACACCAGGAAAATGTCTTTGTGAATGGGCATCACAGCCCTGAATCCGTGCAGCTGCATCCCAGCCATGGTGAACAGGATCTCAGCGTCCAGCTGTAAGCCGTGCAGACTGAGAAAACTTTGAAGAGCCGGAATCACCTTAGGTGTTAAAACCCTGCGAATAATGTTCATAAAGTAAAAATCGTAAAATAATTCATTTTCAGCTACGTAAAGACATTCGTGTTGCCGATGACTGGGGTGATCGATCTTGCCTCTGTGGCAGATAGTAGGTAGGAGAGCTTTGATCGCCATGTTGACCAAGTGAAGAAGCCCATCTTCACAGTCAGGCAGACGCTGAGGCTGCTCACCGGTGCTCTGGATGTCGAGGGCCTGCTGCTGTTGCACACCGTCCTCCTCCTGAGCAGGTTGAGGTGAAACCGGTGGCGGGTCAGCTTTTTTCGCACTGTCAGAATGTCTTTACAGCAGAGGCTGGTACGAAAAAGTGAAGTGATACGATCCGCCACTTCATCTATTTTCTCACACCAGGCCTTGAAAGGTACAACCTGTAAAAGGCGGTAAATACCGCATTCAGCATGCAGATTTTCCAGCACAAAAAAGAGCTCCGATCCTTTCTCCTGGACCGAGGCCTTGAACATCCACTGCCCATCCGCATCCACCAGCCCCTCCCATGAAGCGTTGAAAGCTATCACGGCATTCTGGATTTCATCCAGCGATGGAAGAGCTTGCGGCCTGTTGCGTTTTACAGCTGGACGAGGTCTCTCACGATCATCTTTGTACACCCTGCGTGGAACTGCGAGGCTGAGCGCTGCCCAGTCGTTGTAGGACAGAGCTGCTGAAGGTGATAAATACGGCTCGAGAGGGTCGTCCTCAGCCTCATCAGGGATTAGACACAGCTCCTCAGTGTCATAGCTGAACCGGTACCCAAAACTACCGGTATAGCCGTAAGGTTCCAGCGGCCATATTTGCTCCGAACTCTTTACCGCCAAAAGGAGGAAGCTGAACTCTACACATGTAGAATGTAGATTTGCGGGGCGCACCACCGCCTGCAGGAAGCTGATGGATCGCTATGGATTTTTCACAGAGCAAGGTCTGTGATAACGGCGACGGCGTGTCCACGCTCTCCTCTCATCAGCTCATTAGGTAGATTAGAGTACTACCAGAAAAAGGAATGTTCATCAAAGTGGAGGAAGAGGTGATTGGAAGTTCTCTAAAGAACTATAGCTCTACTCCAGCGGTCCTCACTAACACCACCATCTCTGTTTTCTCAGCTTTTCTCCTTGCTTGGATTTTTTGGATCCTTCTCTGCTCCCTTAATTAATTTTCCGTTTGTTTTTCATGTCTTCAG